ATATGGATTTTCCATCAAAAGACAGTTGGCCAGTCATTACAATAATAATTATATGGGGGTGGGTGGGTAAAATCTGTTCTATTGATAAATGCAACGCAGAAATAAATTAAAGAAAGATTACTTTTCAGAGTTACATATCTTTCCATTCTAAGATTTATCAAACCTAAATTTATCTGAACTACACTGCTGTATTTATTTCAACTTCAACAGCAAAATATTTGTGGGGTATCTCTCTGATAAACTAAAAAGACAATTTGTATCGATAACTCAACAGGGGTGGATCAAGGAATTGAAGTTAGGGGAGGGGCGCAAGATATAGGAAGGGATTCCGCCTTGAAACCCCCATTGGGTTCAGGACAAAGCCCTGGTGGGGGCCCAGGGGGGCGAAGTCCCCGGAAGCTCATGGATTTGAGAGTTTTTGTAGGGTAAAAATGAGGTCTACCGAGTAGACAATTTAAACAATTTCTCGACAAAACTATGTTTTATGCTAACTTTGACAATTTTAGGGGGGTGCACACCGGGTGCCCCGCCCCCTTAAATCCGCCACTGCTCAACATACAAACAAATTAAGTATGAATTGAAATAACAAAAAGAAGATATTTAAAGAGAGTAAATAATTGATTATTTCATTCTCCAAATATTCATAGGAATTAAAGGTCTGTGGTACATGTACATGTAAGAAAACACCTGCATATACAAGTAAATAGGTCGCTATTTAAAATTATACACTTCAACAAATGAAAATATCTGGTTTTCTGTCAGACTATTTCACTTTGTTAGCAGAAAATTAGCAATTAGTGTATCTTAATGACCTAAAAATCAAATGTTGTCCATTTAAAAAAAAATTTACAGAATTTTCATGGACTCTTTAATTTTTTATCTTTTTTTGGGGGGTTATCTGTTTGTTTGTTCTTATTTTATTTAAACGCGGTTCGTTGGTCAAAGAGCATTTTCTCTGTATGATGAAATATTGTGAAAATGCACAAGGATACATATTAAAGAAACCCTAAAATAACTCAAGATGAAAGAGAAATCTTAAAGTGTATGTTTAAAAAAATCCAATTGATACAATGTATCCTTATTTCTAAATTTCTTCCCTGTGATTCAGAGTCAGTAATGCGTCTGAAATCTTTCTCATTTGCATTTTCCGTATTGTAAAGGAAATAACTCACAATTTACCGTATAGCGAGTTTTCTTAGCGGGGATAAAATTTGGCCTGTGACTGCTCAAAGGTATGCCAAAAATTGTGGCGTGACTTATTTAGCGGACAGAGTGTTCCAGCACTTTGCAGATAAACCCTAAGAAGGGTTCTGAATATTGTAGCGATAAAAATTTTAGCGGCTACAATCAAAACGCCAAATAAGCCAAAATTAGCACCCCGCTATACCGTATATAAGATATACACAGTCTATCTACAAAACATGTCATAAGATCCATAGGATATTTGGAAAGATGTCTTACAAAATATTAATTAATTTTCTTTTATATCATTGTCACATAAAAAGAAACATAAAAATAAGTCTCAAAAATGTTTTGTTGTTCAAAATGAGAAATATGAGAGTGGAAACCATTGCCAACTTGTGTGACCAGTCGTCAGGGGATTCTCACTCCTGCATGGCACCTGATCTCGCTCTGATGTTTGGAGGTCCTTGTTTGCTCGGTTCCATTTTTGTATGTTTGATATTTCTTTTATTTGTAGATTTTCTGAAGTTTATTATTGCATGTGATCTTCACCTACTTCTTTAAGTATACACTGTATATCAAATGATCCTGTTTAAGCATTGCATATTTTTTTGGTCATGCAATTTTTACTTTACTCTGTTTATATCTGTACCCGCAATAAATGTGTATCGTTCATTAATTGTAATTGATTGAAGCTGTAGCTTTCATTTTTAAAAGGTGTTTTTCTTTTGACTTTTTAAAATCTTTTATATGACCTATTGACATTGAGTTTGCATTTTGACCTACTTTTTATCGAATTTATTAAACGTAAATCAATGTCATAATTTGAATAAACGGGCTGTTTTCCTTTTTTTAGTAATTAAATCTCTGCTTTGACCTAAATATTTTTGATTTGTTGAACTTGGACTAAAAAATAATTTAACTGTACCTTTCAGTACAATTATTTTTTTTAAAATCAATCTTTACTTTGATGCTTGCAGTAGGGAAAAATCTTATCTTAGAAATAAGCAGCCATGCAGTAACTTAAGATGTTTATAAATTAACAAAGTGAGGTTGTCTTGAAATGAATTTGAAATAAGATTAGTAAGAAGAAGTTTAAAACTTGTAAAAACATGAAAATATATCAATGAGCTATGATTTGTGTACTTGAAAGATTATATTTAATTAAAGATTTATAGTTTGGTGTTGACAAACAAAATAAATAAAGGAAGCACATTGATGGGTACTTTCGATTAGTCCATAAATTAACGCTAATCATTTGAAATCTACAGTTCAGCAAACAATCTTTTTTAGGAAGCTTTATCAAATTTCTTGTACTTTTAAAAATGTGCAGAAAAAAAGATTAAAAAAGATTGTAGTTGTATTAATATTTTTCATAATTCAGACGGCGCATTTGAACACAAATATTTTTCAATTGTAATTCTCTTAAGTATGCACAACATATAAATTGTATTCAACAAGTGAGTAAGAAACCGATTTGACTTTGAATATGTAATTAATATAAGCTACTTTATACTCTTCCATTAATTCAGTTATCTACTTTTAAATTGATTTTAGCTTTGAATTCAACAAATGATAGATTAAGTATGCTAGAATTAAGTAAATAACAGTAAAAAAGTTTGTTATGATTAATATAATAGAAAAAAATATGCAATGCTCAGACATGACCAATTGATGTACAGTGTATACCTACTGAATTAGGTGAAGATAACATACAATGATTGATATCTGAAAATCTACAATAAAAGAAATATAGAATGGTTTACAAAACACAGACCCCCTGGATAATCAAAAGAGAAGATCTCTGGTTCTGAAGATAACCATTTATCCCCTGTTTACCTTTAAACACGCTCTAGGCCATGTTTTAATTAAGGTTGAAATTACTAGAAAGAACATTTTAAACTACAAGACATAGTGTGTTTTACACGCATGACAGGAGAAATCTGTTTACTAAGTACAGTGCGGAAGTATTTTATACCATATATGACAATTTTTTTAAATATGGTGTCAACAATATTATATGTATTATTTGTTTTATGCCAATTGATTGATAATACTCAACAATACGGTAAGTTATTTTAGAAATGTTTGCGAAATACTGTCTCAAATGAAGTGAAGTCAGAGATGTTAAAATTTTCAATGAATTAGGATAACGTTTTTAAGCAAATTACATTGATATTTATTATTGTATTTTTTTTTTTTTTAGAAAATCTCGCTTTTGAGAGAAATGTGGCGATAAGTAGTAGTTATAATGATCTATATTTTTCACCACGTAAAGCTGTGGACGGAGACAGGAGTACATACCTGCTGGACTGTGTACTGACAGCTTCCGGTCAGAAGGAGGCGTGGTTAACAGTGGATCTCGGGGAGAAGAAAAATATAGCATCGATATCAATCTTACATGGGGGTTGTAAGCATTTAGATATATGTTCTATAATATTCTTATTTCATATATTAAACACAATGCATTGGTGGATGTTATATGAATATTCAATGTTCCTTAAATTGGCAAGCTTTCCGACAATTCCTTGGGCGCATCATAATAAGTGTATACAAATCTAAGAGGGTCAAGTATTTGCCAAGAAATGCCTGCATGGTATTATCAACGCAATGTATTCAGGGATAAAGTAATAAAAAAGTAATTACAGTTCAGTGTTATTCATTAAATTTTATCAAAGTAATTGGAAGTATTTTGCAATTGGGTTTCCTTTCAATGAAAAGTAATTAAATGTATATAAAGCCATTCGAAAAAACATGCATTTTCAATTACTTTTTTTTTTTTTACATTTCAATTACTTTCTTTTCGAGTTAAGCTTTTTAAATAATGTATTTTTATCTACATATCTCAGTTACCTCGAAACATAGAAGAATCCTCTAGGTATGGACAATTTCTAAAACGATGTAAATTATTGACAAACAAGATGATGAAACAACAATATCAGCAGTCTTGTTTAAAGTCATCAATTCGTACAAATGTCAGCATATACAATTTAGAATTGAGTCAAATGCTGACTGGCGTTTTTCATACTAATTGCGTGGAGACCAGTTCTTCGGATGAGACCGTGTAAACCTAGGCCCCGTGTCGCAGTAGGTCCGGGCACTAAAAAGATTACTGCCTGCTCAATGGCCCTAAGGGTAAGTATAGGACAAAATTTGCATCTCTCCACTGGCAAGTGGTGGCGTCTCCGTGTGAGTGAAAAATTCTTGAGAGGAACGTTAAACAAAATACAATCAATCAATCAAACTAATTGTAACTCCATACTCCATTATTTATATTCTGAAGTGACTAAGGATTTTTTCCGTTATTTCCCGATCATGACAAAGAGGACAAGGCGGTTGTCAAAGGATACTCACTCCTCCATGGCACCAGAAACCACCTCTGATGTTTTGGAGGTCTGTGTTCCGCTGCTCCTATTTTGTATTGTTTAATGCACTTTTGATCTTGAATACCTTTCGTTATTTTGATTTGCTTCATGATGATAGTAAGCATATCTGTGTGACATGAGCTTGATTTTATGCCATATTGAAATGTCTCATAATGTTTAATTATTTGTTTATTAGCAACACCCACTGCCCAGAGCAATATCAGATGTGAGCCCAGGGTCCCATGAAAAAAAATACTGAATAAAGATCATAGACAAAAAACTTGTTTAGAACCAAGCAAATATATTTAATAGTACATGAATTAAAAAATCTTCCTACCCAAGTGATGTTGTCTGAGTGATATTTATTGATTATTAAAATAAACTCGAAGAATGCTGTCAAAGTACATGTACAATGTAATTGAAACTAATGCTTTACTTTTGGAAATATTAATGTAATACTTTAATGATCTATGCATGTGAAAATACTCAAACATACATTTCATTGGCTCCAACCCTGTTTGTATTATTGAATGTGCAATGTTTTACCAAAAGTCTCTTGAATAGATTGAAATCTGTTATCATATAAAAATTCTTAAATATTCACCGAAATATGCAATTTTAAGTTGGTCTAGGTGCATCCTCACTAAAAACAACAGACTCTGGACTCTTTCCTGATTCCGATGGAAACGGTACAGTGTTCGTTGCCAGTCCATTCAGAAGGATTTGTAACGATAGCTTTGATGAAAAGGATGCCCAGGTTGTTTGCTTGGCTTGGGGATTTCTACCGTAAGTATATAAAGTTTGAAAGATTAAGAATATTGTTCATCCTGATTCTGATAATTAAGGGCAGTCAATGGACTTTTTAAGATTTTGTTCGAATAAAAATAAGTCATTAGGTTTGGTTATTAAAAAATAATTAGTATCAACTAAAAATTAAATGAGAGATATTTATAAGTGCATGTATTATTCCTTTATCAAATGATATACACTGCTTTATATGTAAAGAACGTGTTCTTTATTTTCTTAAATATGAGTTTTTATTTTCTTTGAAATATATAAATTATTAATTTTAGTTTTAAAACGATGCGTATGTCCGCAATGCTTGTAGTAAGCATAAACAAGGCATTGCATTTGCATTTATTCTTTTTTTGTCGATATTCTAAGTTCATATTTTAGATAACATGAATAAAACAACCCCCTCTGGAATAATTATTTAAGGACATACGCAAGCAACCTTACCTACTGATACTTTTTCATGATATTCTCAATTTAAGATTAGAGTGCCATCAGATGTTCATCGACAAAAAATCAGCATGCACTACTAGGGTTTTTATAAGATATTAAATTATGAAAAATTTTGCATTATTGAAAGAAAAATATACAAAAATTACAAAACACCAATTGCAGATTGTTTTTTCCCATCACGTTGCGTATGACCTTCAGTATTAAGCCTATCAATAGAGATGTTTCTTAGGTTTTACATTTTTCTTTTTTATTTTCTATCTTAATAAATATGATCTTATAATAAAGTATCATTTGACTATTGTAGAGATAACCCATCTTATAACATAGCTGTAGACACCACATCGATTGGATTTTATGAAAATGTCTTGAACTGTGCAGGCAATGACATTCACATAAATAGATGTTCTAAAGGATCCTCCGGCTGTCCATCAAGATCAGCTGTAGCTGTTACATGTAAAAGTAAGGTTCGTGCCATGGAGTAGATGTTGACATGAATTTGAGGATTTTTTAAAATTTTATTATCTTTTATCACTGCAACGGCGATTGGATACGAGGGTTGTCAAAACATTTTAAAAAGTTGTAGACAGGAAACTAATCAGGCAGGTAGCAACGGGGAGGGGGCGCCCCACTATTTTGCAGTCATAATTTTTCACTATTTAAAATGTTCATTGAAGGCTGATTCCCCCTCCCCAACTTATAGTTAGAGTAAAGTAAAATAAGGGTAGAGTAGTATTATATGTAGAAAATTTGGTACTGAATGAAATCCTATCTATCATTAAAAATATACATCGATGTTATTTTATTAAACGTGCCTCGGGGAGCAGGCTACCCTTTGCACGTTACAATACATAGACCTTTTACTAAAAATATACACAATTTTTGCATAAAACAAAATTATTATATTTTACCTGTAGAGTATTCAATAAATGTCACTTGGAGAACTTTTGAATTAAATAAGAGGGTATAAGAGTGTTTTAAAATCATTTTTAGATGATTAAAGCGTAAAAACAAAGCCAAAAATGGGAAGGTAATTGAACGTCTTTGAGCACCTCACTACTATAAACTTATGTGTGCGTGCAGGATAAATTCTAAAAGAAAATAAAATTCTACTAGATGCTGCTGTGAATTACATATACACGTCCAGAAAAGGTTTACAAATGGAAACTTTATTAGAATAGAAGGATTAACATTTTTAATTATTAACTCCTGTGTTACAATGCACTTTGAAAAATTACGCACTTTGAAATAATTTGTTTTTCATAAAGTGCGTTGATATCGACCATATTAACGCACTTTGAAAAAAAATGTAAAGACTGATCAATATTCTTACAAATAATCGATATGATAAATAACAGACCTTTGATAACTTTTGATGATAAAGTCACTTCAGGACCTGAGATATTGACGTTTTAAATATTTAAGGTGTTGATAAAATAAAAGGAAAAAGTGTCTTGAAAAAAAAGTGACGATTGTTTAAGACCATTAATTCGGTTTTTTTTTTAAAATACTAGTCTTCGATAAGTAGATGAAAAGATGTAAAGGGGACAATAACAGTGGACAGCTTTCAGCAACTAGCATTTATTATAAAATTTTCTTTCTCTCTCATACGTTTTACTGTACTTAAAAATTTATAATTTTTATCTGTTTTAATTAACTCATTTAATACTAAAAGTTTTTAACGTCATACAAGTTAGGAAAAAAATATAATCATATAAATGTTCTGAGTAAAGCATAGACATCGAAACAGGGCGAAGGGCCAGGGGAGGGGGGAGGGACTTATTTTGGAAAGATATATACATCGTTTAAGCATTGAAAATGAAGCTTACCCTTTTTGGGTTTTTTTTTTTTCAAAGTGCGTTGCCACACTCCTGCGATACCTCAATATCCACTCATCGATTTATTTTAAGTTCTCACTGATATCCAAACAGCACAAAACACATTATACAAGAAAAGAAACATGATATTCATATTCAATTTCAAGGTAGAAAGAAGATTAGGAAAGTCTAAAGAAATCTAAGATTTCTACTATTCTAAAAAAAATAACGGTTTTGAAACCTGGTTGTCACGTCATAAAACGTCAAGAGATTACTCCATGAATCCTATGGCAGCATTAAAATATCGTTGTAAATTACAAAATTTTAATAAAGGGATGTAATTTTTTAGATACTAGTTATCAAAAGTAGGAATTTGTTCAGATATTGGTCATACGTACTGTTCATGTGCTTAACATGCATCTTTTTAGCATCTCTTAGATTTTTTTAGACTGGAAAACCTAACTTGACTTAGGAATTCCAAAAAAAAAATAACTTTGAGATTTAGTTCCATATATCATCAAGGAAACAAATGCAATTTCTTTGGTTCATTGCGTAAATATTCCTGGATTTTCCTGGTGCTCCGACAGATAATATCGGCCTTCCTACAGTTATTACTTATATTATCATGACAGTATTATTTTCATGAGAAATATTTATTTCAAATTCCCAATTGTCTACAAATTTTTTGTACAACCCTTATAATTCTAATTTTATCAGGAAAATTTGTAATCAAAAATGATGTGGGAAAGGCTATCTTTAAAACTAATGGCAATTAAATGTAATGATGCACGTTTCTTATCTTCATATACAGAAGGCAGTACACTGTCTGGATTTTCTGTGTATGTATCTGACACAGAAGACTGGAGGTCTGGCACTCGCTGCTATCATCACGACATAAAACAAATACCACCTAATGAGGTCACCATAGAATGTGTCACTTCCGGTCGGTACGTCACTGTTTACAATGCAAGGAACATGACTTCGTTTCCAGGTGTATCCGACTTTTCATACATAAATATTTGTGAAATTGATGTGGAAGGTAAGCTTCTTTCTTAGGTCACTTACAGATTCAAATTCTCAAATCATCTGCATAATTATAAGGAATATAATATACACTAATTTACCATATTGATCTTTCCTTTTCATTTGAAAGAAATACCTAATTGCTGCAGTTGAAGAAAAGTGTAATGATTAGAAACAATATGAAAAGAAAAGGGACAAAATTTAAGTTTTTGAATGACAAAAAATATTCAATTTTAAGAATAAATGCATCTCATAATAGACTTAAAATTATAATATGCCTTTTTTTCCGTGAATAATTGAAAAGTCAATTATTACTTTTTATTTTCACTGTGGGAAAGTAATTATAGTTCTTGATACGTTCCTGTGTGAAAAAGTAAGAAAGAGAGGTACATTCAGGGCTTTTTTGCCCTGTCAATTTCTAAAAAGTTGAAACTGGTGAGATTTAGCTGCAAATACATCTAATATCATTTAGATTCGTTGTGACTGCGTCTTAGCAAAATGACGTAATTTTCTGGCTAGGCTATGTATTATGACATCACGAAGTACCCCACTTTCTCCGCCTCCTGAAAAGACTCTTCGCAAATGACCAATTTTTCTAGCTGTTTTTCAATATTTTGTCTAGAGCGCAACCCCCAATTTAAAATATGCAGTTAACAGCTGATGATATTTCTAAAAATTTCAAAACATATTTTTATGTATGGTTCATGAGGTGCATTTTTCTTATTTGCTGAACGTACTCATATTTCCCTGTTTTCTTTAAAATTTGAAAACATTGCAATTAAATTTAGCATCATTTCCAACACGTGGTCTCTCAGGAAAATTTTATCTAAAAATAAATGAAAGAAATAAGTCTCTACTTTATCTTAATGTTTGAAACTTAACTGAGTGTGTGTTTAGAAATTTAGATATATACGTATCTCTTTATACAAATCTTACCAGATTTTTTGCACAAACCTAACATAAGCATGAAAACTATGTCAGAGGACGATCTCTTACTAAAATGAAAATGAAACTTATTTTAATGGTCTTTAAGCATCAAGAGTAGAGACGATATCGATTTGATATGATTTGATATTTATTGTTGATAGTGTTTATTAGCTCACTTCAGCCTTTTGTATATTCTGATTACATGAAGGTTGTGAATTTGGTCTTTATGGAGTTAACTGTAAAAAGTGTCCGAAGAACTGCTTGAATAACTCATGCCACAATCAAACTAGACAATGTATTGATTGTATAGCTGGATACATTGGAGCTGTGAAACAGGTATAGTATGCTTATCCTCTTATCCACCTTAATAATCGATATAAATGTTTGTTTTTTTAAACCCAAGACAGGAGTGAAAAGGACTTTCAACCGGGATCTTGTTCGAAGGAAATACTAAGAGTTTCGAAATCTACAGGGTTTGATGAGAAAATAAATCTCTCAATTAAACTTATGGTCATAATATTTCATGAGTGTTAGCTTTTTACAACGGATATTGCTTTTTAAATCTACATTGATGGATGAGTCAAAAAACTTAAGGAATGAAATATTATTTAAGTTTATAGAATTTTTTTGATAAAATGTATTACAAACATAAGTATACTGCTGTTGAAACTTTTCTTATAGAACTCAAGAAGGTAAACGTCTTTTAAGTCTATAATCTCCATGCAAAGCAAAGGTCTACCATCGGATACTAGTTTTTTCCCCCACTTCTGGGAAAATTCTCTAGAATTACAGCTAATTTTCATATCCTGTGTTGAATGTATAGAATGATAAATTCTCATGACTATGAGGTTTTTAGTGAAGCTTTTTTTCATGCTTAGATTAAAAACTGTATCAGAAAATTTAAACTCAGATATTATGACATACAGCAGTATCATAAAACGAATATCCACTGGTTGTGAGTTGAATACTATATACAGGGAAATATTCGCTGCAGTTTTATTTTTGCCCCCATTCGGCCTTGTTAAAAGTGGGTGAATTTAAAACGGGGTGAATTCAAAGAACACAGTATAAATTCTTAAACAGAACTGTGACTTGGCGAATTTGAAACGGGGCAAAATTGTTAGAAAGTGTAAAACAGCGAAAATAACACTGTTTATTATACCTCTGTGAATTTGTTCAATATAAAAATATGACGAATAAACATGCTATCTTTTCCAAACAGCCCCTACCGTGAAATAGTTTTTGTGCTATCTGCCCATGGTGAAATAGTTATCAAACTATTCACCGGCAGCATTCTGTTATCCTCGCTTTTCATCTCGAAAAACTTCTGGTTTTATACGGATTGTGACGCGTATATATTATGACGTAACAGAAGTTAAGTCAGCATCGGTATAATATGGAATATCATAATTGTCTGTACCCTGGACTCCCAAAAGTTAACAAAAGTTAAGTCAGCATCGGTATAATAAAACACCTATTTACTGACTATTCGGACAATAGCAAGTTTATCGTCCCCCTCGAAAGCAAACTATTTCCCTCGGCTTCGCCTCGGGAAATAGTTTGCTGTCTTGGGGAACGATAAACTTGCTATTGTCCTCATAGCTAGTAAATAGGTGTATAATGCAGTTTCTCATTCATCAAACCTTAAACGTTAACTGTTTGTCTCGCGGGTTTGATGAAAGAACTATCCCACTCAAAAACCATGGGTAAGTGTATACATGTACTATATATCAGGGTTTAACTTAGATATATCTGAACAATTCCAGTTTTCAAAAGTTATTTTACAAAAAACCTTTGTGTAGAAAACATAAAAAAATTCTTCCTCCTTGGAGTGCTATTCTTATTTCTATATTGATGTCAGTGAATCTTCACCGTGATAAAAACAGCATTTTTAAAAAGTACTCTGCAGTATTGTCTATATAAAATGTTACTTTTAAGAGAGAGAGAGAGAGAGAGAGAGAGAGAGAGAGAGAGAGAGAGAGAGAGAGAGAGAGAGAGAGAGAGAGAGAGAGAGAGAGAGAGAGCTTACATATTGTTCCCCACACAAATTTCTTATGCATTTACATTTTAACTTGTGTCTTTCTTTTTCGATTTAGCATGTACTCCTGGTATATATGGTCAAGGAAGTGATTTCATATGTGGTAACTGTGTTGATAACAGTGTATGTAATAATATGAATGGCTTTTGTCCTGGAGAGTGTTCTCCTGGATGGAGGGGAGATAAATGTGATCAAGGTATGTTTCATAATCAATGAATGAATCCCTATTAGTTAATTGACCTTTTCCGTAATTTGATTGTATGTCATAAATAAACATTCAATATTTAAATATTCAGATGGAATACGGTCAGTCATTTGCTTTTTTTTTTTAGAAACTTCTTCATTAACTAGTATACCGGGTTATTACAAGAATGATTACTTTCATAGTGTGTGAAATTGGATATTTTGGACTGAATTGTAAGTCGCCATGTAGCATCCCTAACTGTAAAGACAGTACATCATGTGACCATGTGATCGGAGGATGTCAAATAGGATGTGTTGAGGGTTGGGTCGGGACGACCTGTAGTGGTAAGGCCCTTTAGTATCTATTGAACAGATATTGATATGAACGAGATTATTTTTTTACTGTTTTATGAAAGGCGGTTTCAAAGGTCATTGATTTCCATGCAAATTACTTATTTTATATGAAAAAAATAAACTCTTGTAAAATCACAACGGCATGATTCTATTGAATTCAATACATTACAATAATGGATTAATGTCGCTAGTTATCTGCTTAATTTCTTTTTAAAAAACAAGCAAACAAAAAATTGGCAAATTTGTTTCAAGCTAAGATGAAAAACATTCAACATTTCTAATCATTACATTTTTTTAATTGTCCAATATGTTACATGTTGTGAAGGTGTCAATATGATAAATGACTTTAGAACAGGCCACAAGAATAAAAAAGATATCATAATGTTTATCATAGAGTGTGATGGGCGCTTCTATGGAGAAGAATGTAGAATGACGTGCAATGAATACTGTAGGGAAAAGGCTTTGTGATCCTTCAAGAGGTCAATGTCATGGCTGTGTTGATGGCAGATCCGGACTCTTTTGCGAAACAGAAGTTGTAGAAAATAATCCCTTAACAGGTATATGTGCATGATTTATTCTCTTTATTTACCAAAATAAAAAAAAATTGTTTATAATCGATCATATCCTTTTTTGGTGGATGGGGAGGAGGTGTTAGTTTATTAGTTAACATTTTGAATACCACTCTTTTAAAATATTTTTGACAAACATTGTCCAGTAAACTAATTTTTGTTCTATATCAAGCAAATCTTACAATAAATGTTTGACAGATCTTTATACATTAAAATACGTTTCAATACACAAGCAATACACAAAGGAAACATTTTTAAACATATTCAGCTGTATAATTAGTTCCAAGAATATCATAATTGCATTAAAAATCAGATGGGCCGAGGAAACAGGCAAACTTCTTTTCATTATTCAAGTTTGTTTTTAAAATATTTCACATTTTTTTTTTTACTATATCTTGTTACAGAAACTACTTCACTTGTGATAGCAGTCGTCATTTTATCCTTGTTTATAATCCTAATGGTCGTGGTTTTTCTTGCCTGCGTCCTGAAGAGGAAATGCCAATCCTCCCATTCTACTAATGCAGGACAAGATTACGAAACCACTCTTAGTACAAAAGACAGTAATGTGTATAGTCAAATTCAGCATGTTATGCCCAATGACAATGTTGGGCTTGAGCCGTTTCACTATATGGAGTTAAATAACACACATATCAAAGCAAGGACAGAGTACTTCAACCTTAGTTCTAATCCATAGCTTCTATAACCACATGCAATTTGTAGGGAATTTGAAATCAATCCCTGTATAGCAATATACAATAAACACGCTTATAGTGAATATGCCTAAAATGGAAATGTCGTTTATAATGAAGTTAATTTCAGTCTCCTTTGGTTTAAAATTATTCCGTAGCTAGAAGATATAACGAATTACCTTTAAAACAAAGAAAAATTCACCGTCCCAAGTTAAAAGACTGTTTGATTATATTGTTAGAATGGGAGGAAATTCTTATTAACAAACAATATCGCAAAATATCAAAGAAGCACTTCAATAAATAAAGATCAAAGAAAATTTAAAAAAGGAAATGTGAATCATTCAAATCAATATCTTTATTTCTTCTCTGTAATTAATAGTCAGATAGGCGTTTGAAAGGTATTCAATTGCAACTTATTTGATGTGAAGGAAATAAGTCATAGGTATGGGGGAAAAAATCACATTCAGTATGCTTACATTTAATTTTCACGTCTGACTCAATAATTAAAACTATAAATATACTAGTACTCGAAATAGTTTTGTACAAATTAAACATGAATCGAGTAGTTTGTTACTTGTCAACCTCGTTATTGATGTTAAACAAACATATTAAGTTTTTTTTTATTTATTTAATTTTTAAGAAACAAGAAAGATTCATTAGAAATTCGCAAACAGGGCATAAACCATGATTCGAAGAAAAGAATACAGGGATGGGGAAATACTCCTTCTAGGATTTTTTTTCTCTTGATTATAATTCATGATTTTTCAATTTGCCTTCTAATTTAGAATCAGTTGTAAGTTTCAAATAAGGAACAGAGATTGATCTCAAAAACCTACAAGCAATATAATTCTAAGAAGAGGAAACTACCGGACTCTTGGATATAGGTGGATTAAAACATATTGACCACTTAAATGAATTTTTTTTTCCAAAAATTGATTTACTTATAACATATATTTTGTTCTCATATCATCATATTGCTCATGCATTCTAGTTAAAAATCCCGAAGTGACAATTTAAAAGACAATTGGATAAAAATGTTATATAATTTTTATTAGAAAACCTCATTTGAAAAAATAAAATCACTACATCCTTAAAAATTTTCTTAATAATTTCTACGTAATCAGAAGGAACAGTATTTTTCATTATGCTTAAAATGCTATCAGGGTATAAATGGTGAAATGATGTTGACCTTTATTGAATTTCCCCTCTCGTATATGTGACAAGAATATCGAATTTTGATTGCTATTTTATATTATATTCTACATGTATATTAATATATCATACACCTAGTAGTGTATCAGCCGTGATACAAGCCTTTTGGACTTGGCGAGACAGCGCCTCAGAAGTAGGGCTGTCTCGCCCTCAGGGCTGAGATATCTCTGTCTCGGCCCGTCGTTAAGGGGCTGTCTCGCCCTCAAATTTCAAATCATTATTTCTGTTTAATTTGTGTGAATTAAGAGTAAAATTCATATTTAAGTATTAAAGAGAAACATTATATATTGAAAATTTTAACCAGAATCTTTAAAAAATATTTTTTCATATTAGAATTTTGAGAAAATTGTTTTTAAAAAGTGTGCCAAATGATAGCATTTGTGACGTAAGAGAGGTAACTCTTGTTTACTTTTAGGACAGCAACAAGTCATGTTTTGAAACAATGGACCTTTATTTGCTTTGACAGTAAGACAATACCAAGTTTTCATTTAATGTGCCATTTTTAATTAAATATATATTGTAAACAAAACAAATATTCACTATAAATCTCAGGTTTACAAATTGTAACGATAACAAATCCGGCCGACCCGTCTACCTGCCAACCTGTCTACCTGCTGATCCCGATCCATCTACCTGCCGACCCGTCTACCTGCTGATCCCGATCCATCTACTTGCCGACCCTCCGACCTGTCTACCTGCCGACCCGTCTACCTGACTACCTGCCAACCCGTCTACCTGCCGACCTGTCTACCTACCGACCCATCTATCTGCCGACCTGTCTACCTGCTGATCCCGATCCATCTACCTGCCGACCTGTCTACCTGCCGACCCGTCTACCTGCTGATCCCGACCCATCTACTTGCCGACCCTCCGACCTGTCTACCTGCCGACCCGTCTACCTGAATACCTGCCGACCTGTCTACCTGCCGAACCGTCTACCTGCTGATCCCGACCCATCTACCTGCCGACCCGCCGACCTGTCTACTTGCCGACCCGTCTACCTGCCATCAACCAGCTGTGTACCTCCCTACCTCTTTTGTACACATATACTTTCCGACCGAAATATGCGTAAGAATATACAAATATAAATTATTGCGCCGAACTACTTTGTCCGTACTCTCTACTTGAGCCGTCAACCCCAGTTCGATCCAAAGTGAAAGTAGAATATTTTTAAGTTTTGGACGTTTTAAATCTGTGTTATCTAATGTGCTCAGAAATGAAATATTTCAAAACACCAGGACTATTCTTTGTAATGACCAGACCAGGCAAATCTATCTCTATTTGATTATTCACCGTCAAGCAACATCTCCAGGAACATCGAAATAAAGAAAGATAACTCTAATATTTTGTTATGACAAAATTATAAACGTGATGATAAAAAAAATATCAAAATATTTGTTCTTTTCTTTGGTTTTAGATATATGATATAAACAACATCACACCACTGTTTTGATGTCGTCCCTGGTATCAACCCTCGGGTGGTCTCGGCCCGCGCCCTCCGGGCTTGGGCCGATACCAACCGCTAGGGCTGATACCAGGGCCGAGATCAAAACAGCAGTGTGATATTCTATATATACCATATACATGTAATATATTTAAGAGTCCTTTTGGTATAGTTTTATTTTATTAATTGAGATATCTATGAGATATTTAGCAGGTATTTAACCACTATCAAAATCCATATGCTGAGGCATAAAAATCTTTTTTCATTGCCTGTTTCTAAGTGTAGGTTGATAAAAATGTGTTTGGTATTTTTTAAAAACACTTATATTCTAGATACAAAGCCTTTATACCCCAGGCCTTGTAAATTAATGACAGAGTATATTTGCAAACAAGACTGTTATGTCAAACCAAAAAGTGTTTTACGTACAAAATGATGACTTTAAACTATGAAACACTTCAAAGGAGATAAACTTTGTAGATCCATTGCGGAAGTTTACTTCTTTATGACGACAGTCACGACACGTATTTTTTTTTAATATGGACTCCAAAGTATTGTACATATTATTTGTCTCTTGCCAATTTATTGATAGAGCTCATCTGTACGGTAAGATTCTTTTCATTTCTAAACATAATAAACTTTTAATTGACCAAGATAAAAAGTATGGAAAAGATTTATAACTTTAAACATACAATATATGGTGTCAATATTTTAATTTATATTTGACAAAGAAAATCTCGCCTTTAATAAAACTGTGACAGTCAGTAAGAGATACAACAAGGACTACTTTGCACCGAGTAAGGTTGTGGACGGAAACTGGAGTATTTACCAGCTGCAATGCGCACTGACAGCTTCCGGTCAGAAGGAGGCTTTGTTAACGATAGACCTCGGGGAGAATAAAAATGTTGCATCAATAACGATGGTTCATGGGACTTGTAAGCATTTTGAAATCATTTTTGTTTTTTGGATAAAAAATTTAATGTATTTAATTCATAAAACTTTACATTGTATTTAAGTTGAAAACACTTTTTTGTGAAAGAAATGAGCATATTTATCTTTTTGTTTGTAAAGATATGCCACTCCACCTCCCCGTGAAACTTTAATACCTTTCTATTAATTTATGAAATTACAGTCGATGTTACCTGTAAAAAGAAAGTTATTTGGAGGGGGGGTTATAATATTTTCCGTTTTCTGGTGATTTCTAGAGTTAAAAGAAATACATACACACAATTTTTTTTCCAAATTTATAAATTAATTTTTCTTTATTTTCTGAAAAAATCCTGTTTTAGGAAAATTTATAAAGATATATACTATAAAATCACATATTTTCGTAGTGTTCATTTTCCATGGGTCGAGGAATAACTCTTGGTTCATGGGGATTTGATTTCGTGGATGGAGAATTGTTTAGTAATTATATATGTAACATTTTACATTTCTTGGTGAACATAAATTCGTGGGTCTCTTCATACCTCGAAGACTACGAAAATTAAACCCACACAAAAATGTGTGATTTCACAGTAAATAAATTTGAAAAATCATTTAAATCTGTAAACTTTTGAAAATTATTTTGGAGCTTGGAAGGAGAACAATACTATCGTTTGCACTTCTGTAAAGAATATTTAACATTAAAGACCATGCAGAAATAAATCCTCCTCCAATTTACCATTTCAAAGCACAGGATCGTTCATATATCTATTTTTGATATAAAGGAAAGTTTAAGAGCAGCATTGGATTCATACAACCAAACAAAGAAACTAACAAAAAATTCAAAACAAAACAAGAAAAAGCAATTACATGCACACCGTATGAGCCAAAAAGAAGTACCCCTTCCCACCCATATTCCCAACCCCCAACCCCCTCTTTCAAAAATGCTGTCTTTAATATATTTAAAATAATTGAATTCCGTAATATCAAACTGGAAATGAATGTGGTATATCAGACCGCGACTGGGATAAAGGGTCCAGATGAGTAAAATACAACGAAATTAATTTTACCAACTTATCTGGACACTCTGAATAACACACATTCAAAATTTCATGCAAACATCGATAAAAATAAGATGTAGGCCAAGGTATATAGGCATCTTCTAGTCATTTCATAACGTCAGTGATGTCACATCAACGTCGTCATCAGAAAATATTCACCTGAGCGTATTATGCTGGATTTAAGGGGGGCGACTGTGGTTTTCATTGCGCAATATTTTGTGAATCATAGTAAAATGAAGCGTATTAACTGTAACTTTTTTCGCTTAATTGATACAATTAAACAAAATTAAGGAATTACAGGTTTTAAAATGTAATTATAATTTCATACATGAATAACTGATTTTTAACCGATTTTGCAATTGATAGGTAGGTTGACGGTGTTACATGTACAGTGTGTTTTTGACGCTATGGAAACCTGAAGATCTCAAAGAAAGTAGTAATAAAAATGTTTTTAAAGAAAGTGTAACAAAATACGCTATTGAAATTTAAAACATAGAAATTTGAGATTATCTCCATTATTAGTATTGTTTTCTTATAAATCCTTTGCTTTGCACCCGTCATATTTTGTAGTATTCGAGAAAAACAGGAAAATACGTTCATTTTTGGCATATTGAGATGCCCCCTCTGGTAACAAGAAGTAGAATTTTTTGTTTCTTACAAATAATGTGCACTATAGTATCAGTCTTTAAATTTCATAATTTAAATAAAAATATTATTGTAGTATTTGTATAATTTGTTTTGAAGCGCAAAAATTGGTATTTTCTATCTAATCTTACAGTAAATGTACATGTATTTTGAGACACTCCCTTAAATATAACTGGACGGTAGACTTTCCCAAATCTTGGCATGTACACTGAAGCCAATGTGAGTTATATATGGTATGAAATGAAGAGTTTCGCAATTGTAGTTTTCACACAATAAAACCCCACTCGACCCCCTTAAATTATAGAATAATTGTGCATTCTTCTCTGGTTACGCAATTATGACGGAGAGTGCATGACAAATACAACACGACAGCATGTAGTTTGAATTGTATTGATATGCTTAAACGTATTTTAAGGCACCTGCTTTTTATATATATTTAATAAATTTATTTAGAATTTTTGAATTTTTGAGGTCTTAAAATTAATAAACTTACTACTTTATTAACAGTAGGTTTCGGTTCATACACATTACTATCCTCTGACTCTGGCCTCCGTTCTGATTCTGATGGAGAGGGACCAGTCCAAACCGCCAGACCAAGTAAAAGCATTTGTAAAGATAGCTTTGATGAAAAAGATGCCCAGGTCGTGTGCTTGGCATGGGGATCTCTACCGTAAGTATCTAATTTTGATTTACTCATATGAATTAGAGAAACCCAATATTGCTTTACTGATTATAGTTGTGGCATGAAAATCGTACAAAACACTCAATCTCAGAATGTCATTGTCATGCATGATTGATCATTTGGGATGATATAAATACTTTTTTCGTTAAAGCATTTTTGTGGAACGTAACTGATTTAATTTTGACAAGACCTCAAAATTAGAAACTGACTTGCTGAAAAAAAAAGAATGAGGCGGAGAAAATGAAGTAGATTTAACCTTTAAAAATGAATTGAAAGGTTTTGTACATTTAACAATTAAATGTACAAAAAATGTCTTTGGTTTTGAAAAAAAATTAAAGAATTGAAAATAAAGTCCCTAATCCTTGTATTAAACATTTTGATCTTTTAATCTAACATTTAATGACAAATGTTCCTATTTCAATACTTTTCTTTTTAAATACTTACTTTAAATGCAAAAAAATAAAATGTTTCCACTTTATTATTATTCAGAACATGTCAGGTATTGTTAATTTTCCTTTAATCACTGTTATTTTCGTTTTAAACTTCCCGTCATATGAATTATTTTAAGAAAAATTATATTTTCATTTTTTTTTACATTCTTTTAGAGATAATCCTTCCTACACGTATTATGAAGCCGGCTCTCTGGCTTCAATTTATGAATATGTCTTTAACTGTGAAGGGAATGAAGTTAACATGAATAGATGTCCAAAAGAACTAAAAGGCTGTTCATCAATGGAGGCTGTAGCTGTAAAATGTAAAAGTAAGGTTGGCGAGATACATTTTCAAATGAAATGTAATCAAAGAAATGTGTGTCTGAAACTAATATTTAAAATATTTAAACGAATGTATCAAATAATAATTTCAGCATAAATCAGTAGATACATGTAAACCTGGCTAGACCATGGCTATTCTTGAACCTGATGATTGTTAGATTTATAAATAATTTTACTTTTTTTTTTACAGGGGGGAATACATTGTCTGGATTTTCTGTATATGTATCTGATACAGAAGACTGGAGGTCAGGGACTCTGTGTTACCAACATGACATACAACAAATACCACCTCTTAAAGTCACTATTGACTGTGTTACTTCCGGTCGCTACATCACTTTTTACAACACAAGGAATTTGACGTCATTTCCAGGTGTTTCCGAATTCTCATACATTGCCGCTTGCGAAATTGCAGTTAATGGTAATTTTCATGTTTTAGTTCATATTCGGCTAATATTCCTTAATGACTTCAATTAAAAAATAACTTTTTCTAAAATGTAAATGCATAATTATTATTACCCCTGCGAGACGATCATGAATAATTCATGAATTTCCTTGAATTTTTCATGAATTTAATTCATGAAATGTTCATGAAATGTTCATGAAGATCCTATGAACTTATTATTGGACATTTTCAAATCATGAATTTTTATTCATGAAAGAAAATTGATGAATATTCATGAATATTTTTTTTCATGAATAATTCATGAAGAGTCATATTCATGAAGATTCATCATTTCAAGAATGTCCAATAATAAGTTCATAGGATCTTCATGAACTATTCATGAATAATTTGATGAATTTTTTCAGGAATGTTCATGGATGAATAAAATTCATGAACCATTAACATTCATGAATATTCTTGCTTTTTCGTAAACAAAAAATGAAATATTATTATTCATGTTTATTCATGAAAATGCATGAAGTCATGCTAAAAAAGTAACAGTAGATAATTTATAATACAGCATCTTGAAAGATTTTACAGAAATGTTTGTTTTCCAACCATGGCAACAACATCTTTGTTAATAAAATTAAAATAGACAATTCTGACACATTAAACCATAGTATATGAGTAATGTAGTTCATTCCTGGTAAAAGTATAAAAAATTTCAATTCAAATGCAACTCTTTGCAGAATGTTTAACCTTACTTGGTCAAAAGGAGAGGGGGGTCCTTCTTCAGCATGTTCAAATTGTGTTTTAATGCCAGAAATTGAACAGTTTTTAATTCCAGTCTAGGAAAAAAGTTTGTTCAGCACCAGGGTAAAATCCTTATTGTCTTTCCATGTGGAATTTCTAGAATTTCATCATTTGGATCCTTTGATTGAATATCATTCATATTTCCATTTCTTTTTTTGTTTCTTTTTCAAGAGCTCAGATTTTTGTGCAGCCAGAGTTTCTTCTCTTCTGCTCATCAACATTTGTGAACTGCTTCTCTTTTTCCTTCAAAAAGAAAGATTTTCTGAAAGTACCCATGATTGTAAAACATGACTTTTTTGTATTTTCTTGCATTTTAGTTTCATTTAATTTTGCATCAGAGACACTTCCAAATAAAACATTCTGAGTGGAATTTAAGCCTATTTTCTTGGACAGCCATTTTGTAGATCAATTAGGCCTATGAATGTTTTGAGTATCAGTCTATAATTAATGTATGTTATATGGTTGGATCCAAACTCAAAGCAAAGTTAGACAAAAAGTAATTGCATTAAAAAAAGAGCCATATTAATTTATTATAATATTCTTTAATTAGTTGTTTTTTTTACAAATAGACAGTAACCTTTACAGACAGATTTCTGACTCAGTGATTGTCTCCATTTTTTGTCACTCACCAGTTCTGAAGTAGATCAATCCTATATGTATAGTCTTCCTTCTTCATATTCTGTTATTTTCTTAAAAAGTTGACAAAGATCAGTGACTGTATTGTTTATTGGAGTGGACACACCTTGTGAGAGGGTGAAAAACTACAAATTACAAAAGCATAATAAGAATTTGACAAAATATCAAAATCATACAAATCATACAAAATTAAATGCGTAACTTTAACATATGAGCTGAACAGGCCTATGCCTATCGCATGCTGGAAATGCGCGGTTTTACAAAACATTGTAGTTGCAGAATTTAAACATAATAAAATATATTGCATAATACTGTTAGATACAGATGATCAAGTTCGATATATTTTCAAGTAAAACAACATTAAGCTTACTCCTTAGGGAGGCCAACATCACCAAACTTCACAGCCAAAACGCCAGGCAAACCGCATGGCTACCATAATTAGTATATACAAAATATTGAACCCGATCGAAATAAAATTATGCAATACGAAAACGGCACAGTGACTATGCAAATAATAGATCACAAATACTGATTCTTCCACACTACAATTCCCAATTCCAACGTCTCGCGCGTTTTCACAAGTTTGCGCCTATTCAAAAATGTACGGTAGAGCTAAGAAATACCTTAGTTTCGAATTTCCAAGATTTCTGTTTAAAAAAAAATTACAAACACTATCTGAATAATTTTTCACTGAAAATACAATATTTTATATCAAAAAAAGTTTTATCAATGAAGAATTCGATTTTTTACGTCATAAATTATACATGTATTGACTTTTAGTTTCGTATAGCAAGTATGGCAGCCCCCTATGACATTATCAGTGATAATAACAATCTCTCGCCCTCAGACAGAATATTCTGAGCTGTGAAGACGCATAGGAATTAAAACTACAAAATACGAATGTGGATCATAGATACTTTACAACCATGCAGTCTGTGCTCTATCATTAAAGCACGGAGCAAGGGAAACTTTTGACATTTTAACTGCACCAAAATGAAATGTACATATAGCGTTTCGATCCAGGAATAATACGGTACAGTACAGACAAGTGATATAATTTTTAAAGTTGTTAATAAACTATAAAACGTTTTTTACTAAGCTCACAAAGTTCATTTTCCAGAATGTTTCATTTTCCAACAACTTGTTTAAAGTTTGATGTTAGAGAAAATTCGGTCGAACAAAGTTGTGTGGTGAAAAACGACATTAATTAAAGCACATTATGATGAATATAACTGTTTAATTTAAATTATGAAGAAACTCAAGTAATGAATTTGAAAAAATATGCTGTCAACTGTGATGCAGTAAAATCAAATAAAAACACTAAATGTTTATAGAGATTTCATGTTTTTTTTTTTTAGATGGTGAAATAATTATTATTAAACATATATTATACCAGGGGCTTGTTCAACAATTGCATCTGCATGCAAAAGTTGTATTATGAGAGTATTGAGTGTTTTCTGTCAATCATTTTTGTCTTCATGAAAATTCATGAACATTCATAATACCTTGAACTCTACATTTTTTCTGTCTTTAAAATGAAAATAACCAATATTCATAAATATTCATCATTTGTTCATGAACTACATTTTATGAATATATTCATGAATAAAGTTCATGAACCATCTTTATGAACCAGTCATGAACCAGTCATGAAAACATCATGAATGTTCATGAACGATTCATAAAAGTTCCTGAAATCATGAATTTCACCTCGCAGGGGTATTTACGCTTTTCGAATTATTTTGAAAGAATTACACATAGAGTAAACATGAATTTGAAAAGTGAAAATTTTAATGAAAGATAATTCCCAACAGCACATGTAAAAGTATAAAAAAAAATGGTTCGAAAGTTTTGTAAATAATACATACATTGAAACTAGCATATATTATGCTATCAATGACCTACCTTTTTCTTAAGAAATTGTTAACGTAGTTACTCCATCTAATCGCATTCATGCACTTTCTTTCTGGTCAAATGTTACCCTAATGTACTAAAAAACTAAGTTAGGCTAATGCTACTTTCAAAGAATACTACATTGTAAAGAAAATCAATTATAAAGGTGAAAATTATTCAAAAAAAAAAAAAAAAACCTTTTCAAATGAAAACGCATTATCCTCATCTGTATTCTGGCTATCCATATTTACAGGTTGTGACTTGGGGTTTTATGGTGTGAACTGTACACAGTGTCCGAAAAACTGTTTGAATAACTCGTGCCACTTTCAGACAGGTGAATGTGTGGATTGTGTAGTCGGATACACTGGAGCAAGCTGTGAAACAGGTATGGTGTACACTTACCTTCTTGTTATAACTTGGATGGCTATTTTATCTCAAAACCAGTGGATATTAAACTTTTTCATAATTATATTTAATTATTGAATTATCAAGGTTGGCTAGCAATAATTAAGCTTTGTGTAACTCTTCAGTGTTAGAAAAGTCGCCAAACATGTTGCAAATATTCAAGATTACAGTCAAAATTTGAAAAGTAATTTTTCTAAGGCATGGATAGCACGGACGATATCTTGTGGTATGTCTCAGCAGTATATGAAAAATATCAATTAATATTCTCCCTTTACTTTTAAATCAGTTATGAATTTACTTGCGTCTTCCTTTTTGGTCAAGCATGTTCGTCTGGTAATTATGGTCAAGGATGTGCTTTCAAATGCGGAAACTGTTTTGAAAACAATATATGTAACAAAGTGAATGGATCATGCCCTGGACAGTGTTCTCCTGGATGGATCGGAGATAAATGTGATCGAGGTATGTTCTAGAATCAATATATAGAAATTCGTATATGTATCTTTAATTTTCTTCATTTTAAAGACACAAATACACACTCAACATTGAAACATTCAGAGAGAATAAGGCCATTAGATTTATTATAAGGAGGCGTCTTTATTCGATAAAATAACAAATATTATTATTTTTATAGTGTGTGTAAATGGATACTTTGGTCTGAATTGTGGGTTGTCGTGCAATATTCCTAACTGTAAAAACAGTACATCTTGTGACGTCGTCACAGGGGAGTGTCTTGAAGGATGTATCGAGGGTTTGGCCGGGAAGACCTGTAATGGTAGGCCCCATTAATATTTATCAAATGGACATTTATCTCAAGGGGATCATTCGTACGCAAATTTTCATATGCGAGTTCAGAAGTTATTACAAATTTGTTTTTCTAACATAGAAAATATTAAGCATTTTAAATCATTACTATCATTATTTTATCCATTGACTTCAATATTTTTAGGAAATAATTCTTTCTAAAGTAATACTAAAGTGTTTTAAGGACAGATGCTGCAAACATTTTTTTTTCTCTGTAAGAGACTTAATATCATGTCACAGGTTTCGAAAAGTGGATAATTATTAGATTTTTTTTCTCCTAAGAACTGGAAAATGAAATAGACATGGAAAATATTGGTAATGTTTCAATAAAAAAAACAATAGACAAATCACACTCAGTAAAGGTTTACAGGTAAAAAAAAAATTCAAAATATGTAACCTTGTTGCTAAAAGTGTATTATAAAATTAAGAAAAATATAGCAAGCCAGGTTAATTTGGTTTGGAAAAGCAGAATGGTAAAAATCAGCCTATGTAATATTGCTGATTTTTGTCATTTGATTTTCCTCATTTAATTCACATGGCTTGGTATATTTTTATAAAGATTAACATTTATATACATATTACATCTTTAGCACCTAGGTAACATATTCTGAAATTTGTTTTCACCGATAAACCTTAACTGACTGTTTTTTATCCAAATTTGTAATTTTAATGAAATATTGCTAATTAATATTTAATCTAAGTCTATTTCATTTTCCAGTTCTTAAGAGAAAAAAACTAAAAAAAAAAATTTCACTTTTCTAAAATTGTGACATGATTTTAAGTCTCCCCCTCCAAAAAAATATCACCTGTCCTTAAACCTGAAATAAAATTTTAATTCTTATTTCAAAACTTTTACTTTTAAAAAATAAATTTCTTCAGAGTGTGAGGGGAACTTTTATGGTGAAAGATGTAACATGACATGCAGTAAATTTTGCAAGGATGGCGTCTGTATTCGTACAACAGGTCAGTGTAGAGATTGTATTCATGGCAGATCCGGATTTTTCTGTGAAACAAAAGTTACCGAAATAATCCCAGTGCAGGTACCTTTTCTTTTTACCTTTAAACACGATAATGTACGATTTTTTTTTCATGAAATTATTTCATTATTTATTTGTTCATTTCTCAAATAGGGTCCATCAATTATATTTAATACATCGCTTTATTATCATTATAAATCGTAAGTGGTCTTTGATTTTTTTTTTTTGTAAATTATTTTGCTCTTTATCTAAAATATATCTTATATGTACAATTCGTTCAACAAGAAGTAATACTAAAAAGAATTGAATCAGCATCAGATGGAAGAGATAATCCTTTTGAAAGCATCATCTAAAGTTTATTTTAATAATACTTCAAAGTTCATTGTATATATCTTTTACAGATAGTAACATTTCCATAACTGTGATAGCAGTCGTTATATTATTTGTGTTTATTACCTTGATGATCATGGCGTTGCGTATCTGTGTATTGAAGAGGAAATGCAAGTGCTCTCATTCAAACAATAAAGAACAAAATTACGAAACCATCCTGAGAACAAAAGACAGTAACGAGTATAGTCAAATTCAGCACGACAATCCTAATGATAATACTGCAATTAAGACGACTCACTATATGGAGATAAATAACACAGACATCACGGGAAGGACAGAGTACATCAACTTTGGTTTTAAGCCATAACTTCTATATAACTACTTGAAATACACAATTTAATCAAAATACTGTTAAAGTGACAATGAAGTATGTTTCTATCAATGTCGTTTTTCTTTTAAAGATTTTCACTGCTTGAGTTTTTCTTAAACATTGATTTTCCGATAAAGTATGCAATGTAAACATAATTTTATTTAACCCCATTATTGTATGTACATGCATTAAGAGTTTTGAGATTTATACTAGTATGTAAATGTACCTATGATTTACAATACTGTAATGATGAGTATAACTTCAAATAATTCCTTATAGATGATATGAATAGTTTGCTGTTCATGGTATTCAGAAAAGAATTGTATAATGGATTATTTTACCCCATGTTATTATGTTTTGTTGCATCGTTGACAGACTCTATTCCTGTCAGAATTTTTTATCGACCTACAGCATGTTGTTTGATAATATGAATGCACAAAATTAGGCCAATTAGATTTCTCCAAATCAGTAAAAAAAAAGAGTGTATTTCTAAATGACTGTTTTTATGCAAACTTTTATTTGAGCTCTTATTACTGATTGCAATATTTCAACTCGTTTTCCAACGACTAGCACAGTTGAAGTATTATGTTTATGCAGATGAAACAATGAGATATTTGAGATTATCATTATCCACGTAATTCCACTTTGGTACGATGCACATTACATATCAACCAACCCTCGTACATGTAAGTAGATATTCAATATGCAGAATTTATAGCGGCGTAAGCAAAACTGAACAACAACAAATGAAAATTTAGCATCAAATTAGCTCAAATCTTTCAGGTTATATGTTTGAAAGATTTTCTATAACAAGTAATCAGTTCAAAAATAATAATTTAGAATCTTATTGCCTTCAGAGAAAATGTTATACTTCATAACTTTTTTTTAATTTTATATTATGTGTAAATGTAACGAACATAGTACAGATAATTTGTTAATGTGTTCATCAAACGTGGAACTGAAAGCTTTAAAAGCTTTTAAAAGCCATTTACACATGAATGATATACTTTGAAAAACTGTTAACAAGAGGCAATCGTCAGTCCATAATAGTTTACTTCCGTGGTGGATAGTTCAATGGAGCTGTTGGTTATGGTATAAGCAAAGAGGAAGTGTATCTATATAAACACGATATGGCCCTAGAATTCGTGAGTGCGAAAATATTTCAATTACTTGTCCTTTCTGTTCTCACAAATGTTTCTTTTCTGGCACTAAAAATTTATCGGAGGGTAATGTGGGGGGTCTTAATAAATCGATCTAGTGCAAGGGCATACACTCTATGGACCAAAGTAAGCTTTTACATTTCAACTATAGAACTGTTAATGTATCTGGAAAGAGCTGCGATCCGGATGAAATCTCAGAAACAATTTGATTATATCATTATTTCATGCCGCTGACCAGCAAAAAATATAGCATTCGGCAATACAAGTATAATTTTAACAATGAAATTGCAGAATTTAGACATGATTGCAGCACTTTTTAAAAACTACAATGCGTGTTGAAAATATTTATATACTAAACTTGGGAATTTAACTTTGCTATGCTCTTGCACTATTGATATTTATATGTAACATCAATACTTCAAGTCAATGTGCTAAAATCGCGTGACTGCCGCATCACGTGACTAGTCTTAATATAAAATATAATCGTCTTCGATATGTAGCTATTAATCATAATTACAATTATCTGATATAAATCATGTACTAAAAATAATCGCCATCCCGATTACAAATACATTTTTAAATACAAAATTTAGTCGATATTTCCATTGCGCACCTTAACTGTTCTGCGTATGATTTTGCGTATTAATTAACAATTCCTGTGGATAATTCCGGGTCAAACCCACATTTCCTAGTCCTGTGATTTCAGCAAGACATTTACAGAACATGCCGTCATTTTTTTTAATTACGAGGGTTGATCTAAAAGTTATGTCACAACTTAAATAAAGTTGTTATAAATCGACGTATAACAACAAAATTAAACATGATTAAAGCTGTATTTATTTCAAATCAGAGTAGAAAAATTCAACAAAATATGATTTATACTTTTCAAAATATCGGAATTTAAACAATGTGCGTTTATGGTAGTCGCCGCACCTAAATATAACATCATATGACGGATTTGCGTCGTCATACTTTTAAGTGTTTCCCCATCGTTACTTTAAAAAATATTTGTGATTTGCAAACACTCACCAATTTCACTTTCTTTAAGAATTCTTGGTACCATCAAACACTCACTCTCTTCATAATTAAGCCATCTTTCATTTTTTTAACAGTAGCATACGGCAAATTTAATAATTAACTCTATCCGTCTTGCTTTTTTGACAGCGTCAGACACCATTGAACGTTTCCCTCCGATCTCCTATCTTTCGGTCTTTTTGTGTTCTGCTGATCTTACAATGACCCATCATCCGCCCAAAATTGCTAAAATCATCTATAAAAAAGTCTCTTACTTACATTTCTTTATTCCGTGAGTCTAATTAATTAACGAAACTGTCGCTAGTGATGATTCCCATATTTTTGAGCAAAGATGCATTACAACTCATCTAGGCGTTTTCCCCCATTTCGACAAACCCTTTGTTCAATTCCAGAGAGTAAAACAACAATGTTTATGATCATAAATACCAATTTTGTCATTAAATTTTCATTGAAAGACTAGAAAATGATTTGAATTGTGTCTTTTAAAAAAATGAGAGATTTTGTGCTTTTTTTAGAATCTTTTAAGGGGAAGAAGGACCTTTAGCTGAAAAAATACCTGTCATTTAATTTTTTTTCATATTTTGTATATATCTTATTTAGTGTGTCCTACATACTATAAAGCAGACATATAAATAGGTTTCTAGACTTATTTCTGAGATATTGAGTGACAAATACCATACCCCACAGTGTCTGAGCGGAGTATTTATTCTCCGTGTTTCTGGGTCCAGTACTCGGCCGATAATTGAAATTTTTCACCATAGATAAAAAATATACCAGCGGAAATGTGTCTTTTAAAATATTTTAGAGTATGAATAGGGTTACAAATTCGAAAATGCAAGATTCTTTTGTAACACCACATCTGGAGACGTAAATTTACGACTTTTTTTAGGACAACTTAAACCATAAAAAAATTAATTTGCAAAAAATCCCATCATTCAATATTTGAAAATTTACGTCGAAGTTCAAGGTCGTCATTGTATTGATTAACTGTAAAAATATTGAT